AAAAGTTTTTTAAATTAATGTGAACTAATTTCCTTTCAAATTTGTTCAAATTCCTTTGAATCTCGAAATTACTTTGCATTAATTCGAAAGTATTTAAAAGTTCCAATGGGTAAACATCAATAACTTCTTCTCCAGTAAAAATAGTATCCATGAAACTCCTATTGTGTACTATTTAATATTGGAAAATACACTTCTTTCGATTAGCATTTAATTTGCCGATACTTAAAAAACGTTTATTTCCGCCGTGGAAGTGGTAAAAATAGTGAAAAGCGCTTCTTTAGTTATATTAAAAAAATTGATTTTCGATGAGCTTTTCGTATTTTTTGAAAAGTGCAAATTTGGACAAAAAGTTTTTTTGTCGAAAACGGCGAAAAATGAGCTTTTTGCTGAAAAATATAATGCGTATAACTTTTCTATGCACTCAGCTGGAGAGCTGCAGTTTTTGCCATTGGAATCAGCATCCAAAACTGCATCTGGACAGGTATATTTCGCCACTGGTGCACAAACGTTTGTATAACGTGGTAGGTTCTATGTAGATTTACGCTACGGAATACACAGAATATTCAGAATTCAGAAATTCTTAACTCAAGTCGCGAATGTTTCAGAAGTCTAAAGTTTTGCCATAGATGTAGTTCAATGCACGCTATAAAATGACAGATTAGAGTGACACATTTAGGCTTGCAAACATATCTGCTCGTCATGATAAAAGAATGAAGAATAATAAAAAGATAGATATTAAAGCGAGGTAAATTTAGAAAGATGTTGGAATCAATAAAAACGGTAAAAAAAAGAGTTTGTTTGTAACTAATAATGTCGAAATATCTCTAATTTGACTAAATAACAATAACATTTGTGCCATACGCATTGGTTGTTGTGAAAAGGTGTCTACTTCATAAGCTTGTAATGCATTGAAATAAGCCTTTTCTAATGAATAAAATTCGTCATAATGATCGTTCAACATTACTTTATCTATAATAGATACGAACAGATAAATATTAATGATCTCCAACCTTTTTTTCTTAAATTACTTACCGTGTTTAACGAAAAGTAAAATACTGATTAATGACACTTCTGTATTAGTTAAGTTACATTTTATTGTTAAATGAACAATTTCAATGACTTTTTCAATGATGCATCGATTGTATTGATTTTCATTCATCTCACAGATGCCAGTGTTCGGCTGCATCGCCTTAATATTTAAATATCTCGATAAACGTTTTAAACATTCATCATAGGATAGAAGAGTACATCGTAAGTCATTTGTAATTGATAAGAAATAAACGACAAAGAAAATTAAGATATCAGCCCATTTATTGCTCAATATTAGATTGTTTAAATTATCTGGTAATCGTTCATCAAATGACCAACTTTTATACCATATAATAAAATGATCAATCATGAACAACATTTTCCAAATACATCCAAGCTCTATGAATTATGAGAAGTGGCGCGTGATAACGAATGTCTCTTACGAATGTCGTCCTTGAATTGCATGTTTTTTTAATTAATGGTGGTAAATGTTCACTGTGGTTACTATCTGATAATTGTTTTAATAAGTCACGCATAATATCGTCGATTGACATTTGATCAAAACGATATTTTTCCCACTTGAACATGGATGTTAATGATAATGATAAATTCAGTTTGTCTACTATTGTTGATTTTAAATCAGAAGTTGTCATTCTAGCATCTTCAAAACCCCCCATTGTCGAACCAGTGTGTGAAGGAGTTAGAGTTTGAGGATGGGGTTGATTACTTTCACACTAGAATAAATATAGGAAAGAGAGAATGTTATGAGTTTGCTTGACTTTACCACAGTGCCACTAAAATACATACCCAGAGGAGGCGTGACCGGATTTCTGGTATTCTTCCACCAGATGCACGATTTAATCGCAGGGCATTAACCATCATGCCATTTTTTAAACATTTTTGAAATCTACAATATCTACAACGATTACGTTGTATTTTATCGATAACACAGTTTCCATTTGAAGTACAATAATATTTTCGGTTATTTCGGACGGTACGTTTAAAAAATCCTAAAACACTATCATTGACAGTAATTATTATTACGAACGAATTTCAAACAAGTTACCTTTACATCCTGTACATGCTAGAAGGCCATAATGCACACCATTTGCATAATCGTTGCATATGCGACAATGCCTTGCTCTACCATATTTTAAAACTGTTTGTTTTGTTGATCGTGATGAGAGATCATAGGAATCAACTGGAGTTTTTAAATGATGTTGTCGGTAATGCACTGGTGTTGAATTATCTTGCAAATACTATAGTTAAAAACAAAAGAGAAAGAGTAGTGGGGTGATATATGAGGTTGCAAGTCGTTCGCCTTACTTGACACTTTTTATTGTTGTGTTCATCATTATCACACATCTCTGAATCTAATAACTCCATTTGTCGAAGGAATACTTCTTCAGGCTGTTGCAGTTCTTCAATATCGATTGTTTCATAAACAATTTGATCTTTATTAGTAGTCTGATTTTGTCGTGTTGATGGGTTTTCTTTTGTTATTTGTTCATGCACTGCGGTTAGATTAAGTTTCGATTCGATAAAAGACTTTTCGGGCGAGTAAGCAAAAGTAGAAAAGAAATAACTGGGTTTATCTTCGTATATGGATGATGAAGAACTTTTATTTACACCAAATTGTAGATAGAAATCTTCGAACTGAGCGTCGATGACATTAGTTGCGTGTTGTGTTGACATATTATCGTGGTGTAACCGTTGAAAATGACTACCAAAGTACAGTTCTGATGTATCGGGACTTTCGTCAGAATTTCTACACTCACTCTTGATGAGACCGGCAAGATATTCTTGAGAATCAAATGAATACATACTATTCGGTCGCTTTCTATTACTTGTTTTCGTGTATATTGATGATACTTTACTATGTCTATGCATATATTCAGGAGATGAATCTACTGCACAATGTGGCATTTCCATAATAATATTATCCCTACGTAAATCTTGCTTTGGAAAATACTGTATATAATAGTGTATATGCTCAAGAATATGTTTCTTAGTCTGCAAGAATAACATGTCGTTTATATAGCGTATAAGACACAGGTGGGGTTATTCATTCCTTTAATTATTCGTAGAAAATCATAAACCGTAGCATGTCAGAGTGTCTTGATCAATATGTTTACTCGAATGTCTGAGAAGTTAATGGGTTTTTAATGATGTGTCACAAATAACAAGATCATGCGAACCTAATATAGATGTACAGAAACCAGGTATATACTTTGTAGTTTTCAATCCCAATGACACACAGAAGAAATGTACTTTTGATTACTGAACGTTTTTAGAGACTTATCACATTCATTACAATAACATACGAAAGGAACAATGTTATGAGTTTGTTTGAGTTTCGAGCAAAAGTGAATGAATATCAGAAAACAACATCGATTGTTGACATCATTTGGATTCCATCATACTTCAAATCCTTTTTGTTCAAACAAGATAGGCTCTCGTGGATAACAGGTAGCTGTTGACAATAGTAAAAACAACGTCCTCTCACTTGTTTTGCTCTGTTGACTCTAGTTATTGTATAGAAGTCACTTGTTTCGAGAACTTCGATTATTTTCTGCACTACGAGGTTTATTCTTACAGGAAACAATCGAATCCTTAATACTATCTTCGATTCATGAACCCTTAATAAAAATAAGATATATGGGAAAAACTTCCAAGCGTTATATTCCAGAATAGTAGCTAATGGCCTTTTCACATCATATAGTAGACTTTTGACTTAGACTTCCTTTTTCCACAACCTTTTCATGAAGAGGTCAAAAATTGGGCTTTAAAAAAGTCAGCGGCTTTTATACTAAGCACTAATGTCTTTTCTTATTTTAAAGTCAGTTAACACACCGCACCAAACTCTTCTGCATTTCAATCGATTAATCTTGCTATTATTTTACAAGCAGTATGATCCACACAAATCTTATCATTAGCAATATGTTTCGACGTACCACATGTTCATCGTTTCTGGTATATTGCAACCTCTACCTCATTTCCAGTAAAGTTCGCTAAAGAGCCCTGCATAACTAGTGCCACTAAACACACGATGTTAAGTGTTGTCTCACTCACTTGAACTTCCCCTGCATCTGTCTATGGTATGCTTTTTTTCTTTTTCCACTTCCACTTGTCGTTCGCAGAGGATATTGATTTTGTACGATCCTGGCCTCTCAGTCTGAGGAACAAGTATAGAAAAGCACATCACGACTTTTGTATACACCGAGGCTTGAACACATTTTCAAAACTCGAAGAGACGAATTTTCTTTTCTAGATATTAGAAGGTCGGCCGATACGATATTTTTTTGCTTGGGATGTATAACATTCGTTTGACATGCATTTCCACCCCCCAAAGTCTGTTTATAGCTTTAATAGCATCTCAGATAAAGTTCTCAGGAAAGGTATGATGCACTGCTATATTATCTTACGATTGCCTGAAAGACGTAGCTGAGTTGAGAACAAATGCGAAAGTAGACTATTCATATGAGGTCACGATGTTTATAGGAAAAACAGTAGACATCGTGACCTAACCTGACTACTCTTCGGTTTCGATCATGATGTATTCAACATTTATAAATCGTTGGGCCACTGACAATATTACTATATAAAACAGACCATTTTCTTTTCTTTTTCTTTCTGTCTTTCTGTAGTGCGAGTGTGTATATCTATAGAACCAAAAAAGCTACCATTAATACATTGGTAGCGTTTTCCATGTCAAGACAGACTGACCGTTATTTTCCGAACACTTTGATTTCTTTGGATGTGCGTGAACTCATTGAATTATAAATCTCAGGCATGAATAGGAGTCACACAAGCAGAGGATGAAATCTGTTATTCAACCCATTGATTGCATGTAGCTAGCATAGTTGTAAGCTCTCAACTCAGCTACATCTTAGATTTAGTCCACTTAAAAATGCCAGTTAATGGGTACCTTGATTTCTGGCAGTTCCGACGTGGTATTAGATTCTGTCGGAGCTCCAGTAACGGTAACCGATCACAGTGGTAAACTCGAATTGCACGCTGCATTTGAACTTTTATTCGAAACCAGTCCTCACCATCAAGAACCAGTCTGATCGACTCCATACCTTCATTGCGATCCAGGGTTATGCATCGCACCAACTTATTAACGGATTTATAGGGTTTTCGAAACAAGAACTTTTGATGCTGACCCTGCGCACAATCAGAACTCACCTTTGCAAAAACTCGAGATACATTTCGTCTCTAGTAGGATTTTCAGATACATTTCGTCACGGATTTACAGCGAAAATTGACCGAAATAACTATTACGAGTTGCACACGCACACGCATCTAGTTAAAACGCCTTCTTACAGCTAGTGATCTACATGAACTAGAGACGAAATGCATCTGGAGTTTTCGCATAGGTGAGTTTTGATTGTGCGCAGAGTCAGCATCAAAAGTTCTTGTACCCGTTAACTGGCATTTTTAAGTGGACTAAACCTAAGATATAGCTGAGTTGAGAACAAATGTGAAAGTAGACTATTCATATGAGGTCACGATGTTTATAGGAAAAACAGTAGACATCGTGACCTAACCTGACTACTCTTCGGTTTCGATCATGATGTACGCAACATTTATAAATCGTTGGGTTGCTGGCAATATTACTATACGAGAGTATGTATGGTGGGAAGAAAAGAAAACAGAGAAAATGAGAAAAATTATCCACCTGTGATTATATCGTGATAGTGTATGAAAAAATGAATATACTTTGTACATGTACGTGAATATACGTAGTCTACTGATTTTTCTTTCATATTCTAGGTGACTCACATCGATGAACTTGGTCATATTTCGTGCATGTGTGTGTACAGAATCCACATGACGATACGCCTGAAAAGACAAGTTGGTAATATTCAGTATGTGTTCGTTATCTAAATGAAAGTTTCAGGGACAAACCTGCCGAATAATTATTTTATGTTGCACATTCGTTTCTGTAGGATTTGCTACTGCATCTAACCAAAACTGACACGTGATCATTCATAGTATAGCTGTGATTGAAGAACCCTTCATCAGAAGGTATAGTTGAAAGTCTGTTTCCTTAGCATGAAGAGGATGTCTGATGATGGAAGAAAAACTCACAATATGGGTTTGTATTAAGATAAGATGCAACATTTTCTCATGTGCCGTACTTTGATTAGACTGAACCAGACACTTGGCTTTTAATACTGTTTTTACTGAAAAACCGACCTAAGGAGAGTATTCCTAAACGTGTCCTCAAACGTGGCCAGCTTGTAGATGTCACTCTCACCCTTCTAATGTAAGAACAAACAGCAGCAAATTATGCATCCTGTCATAAAGATACCGATGTTCAGCAAGAACGATTCTGCCCAAAATCCAATATGAAGTTGCAGTAAGGTTGATATAGGAAAATAACTAATGAAAAACTGAACAAAATGGTATATGAACAACAGTTAGGGCCTGTATTATTAAGGAGAAATGGTTTATTTTCGAATGTTCCGTATCTAGTGATCATGCTTGTGTGATCATATTTTCCCATTTCTCTCAAAAGCACGAGAGGATGCAGCTTCTCTTTAGTATAAAATGTTGCTCTTGAAGAGCTCTACAATATTCTGAGTAAACAAAGTCTACATATCATTGAAGGCGTCTATAGACTAATATTAACCAGTAAAATATTAAATGACTAGTATTAAAAATCAATACAACATTTTTCCAACTTATGATTTTTAATATTGGTCATTTAATATTTTTCTTTTTAACATTTTTCGGTATACCCAATTGGCTGAATCCATTATAATTCAAATACGAGAAAAATGAAAGAAATTCACTCGTATTTTACCATTTTTAACATCATAGAAGAGTGAAAAAGAAAATCGAAGTATTTTTGCTCAGAATTTTGTAACATCATCTTCTATGGGTTTTCTGGAAAACTCCAGTTTTCATTCAGTCACATTATGATCCCTCGAAAAAATGGTTCGATCGAGTCGAAACTTTTACCACAGATACTCCAGACCCTATCTCACGAGGGAACATTCCCAAGTGAGCACTCCAATTTTGTTCAAACCTGGCTTCCCAGCTCTCCACGCCCTTTCTTTGCATAGTTACAGAATTTACAGGAGAAGCCATAAATGTTCATTGTCAGCTCAGAGATATAGAAAGAAAAAGAAAAATTAATTTAGGGCTTCTCTTGTAAATTCTGTAACTATGCAAAGAAAGGGCGTGGAGAGCTGGAAAGCGTCTCATTTTGATGCAAAATTTTCAGGCTACAATTCCAACATGGTGATAAAACATTGCTAGGGCAGGGAATTTCTAGAAAACCAGTTCGCCAAAGAAACGCTAGGAAAGGACTATGGGTACAAACAGCTATCATATTCGCAATCAACGCCCTTGATTACATATAAATTACCAGGTTTGAACAAAATCGAAGTGCCACACTTGGGCACGTTCCCTCGTCAGAATGAACATTTTTTTTCGAAAAATATGTTTTCCTTCTCGAGAAATACAAAAATGCTGAAACTACGCAAAAAACTGACTTTTTGTATGTGTTTTTCAGCATTTTTCGTATATCTGGAGAAGGAAAACATATTTTTCGAAAAAAATTTTCGGGTCTGGAGGATCTGTGGTAAAAATTTCCACCCGATCGGACCATTTTTTATTTATTCTGTTTTTTAATATTTTTTCTACAGGCTCAATCTTTGCTGCATCTATGTGACGTTGCTGTTGTCTGTTAAATTTAGATGAAAAAAAGATCTTTTGCCGTGGTGCCTGAACCAAGCAAAAAAACCTTTTGTTTAGACCTTAGTTTGTGGAGGACGCACACTTTGGACTGTCTATCTACGAAAAAAAATGCTAGATTACTAAGGTTCAGCTAATGCAAACTTACAGTGGAATTTATTTTTGACTTTATTATACATATTCAGATTCAGTTTAACGAGCTGATTACGAATAACATCTTCCGAGCCTCCAAAAGTCATTTCTTCGTGG